TATCAGGGTTTGACACCCAAAAGTAAACAGTTTTGAAAAAATAGGATCATTTTAGAATTCAAAAAAATTGATCATTTACTGAACAAATATGATTTTAGAAAATAAATAGACCATTCATATAAATAATATACAATTTAATTCTTTCGTTTTGTATTATCGTTCTTGTTTCCTTCGATAAAACTGTCGACATATAAACCAACACGAACTTCGAGTCGGCCATCTTTGTTTTGACAAGGCGCGAAATTTAGCGGGACAAAAAACGATATCCGGGACAAAAAACGATATCCGGGATAGGGTTGGGCGATATTTCGATATTTTGATTTATCGCGATATTTTCAAACGCGATTATCGTATCGAAGGTAGAAACTTGAGCAACGATATATCGAAATTATCGTCATGCTCGTTGACTATCGTGATATTGCTTTGCATGTGTATATAGCTTTTATAAAATCCTAAAAAATTCCTTCAATTTCTAGAAAATATATAGTTTTTAAAAGAATTAAAACTATTTCCTGAATTAAATACGAATTTAATACGATATAAAAGCTAATATTTATGTCAGATTAATCGGCTAAACAATGAAATCGCATGCTATGCTTGCGCTGTGTGCCCACGGCATTTGTGCCAGCGGAGACACAGTAGACACTGCATAGACAGTTCAGGTTTATGAACAGTAAATATTAGAGAAGAAAAAGCTTTCTTGTTACTTTAATTTGCTGTTTTACTTGTGATTGTTTTTATTGCATTTATCGCGATATTATCGAATATCGCGATAATTTCCTCCACAATAATCGTGAGATGATTTTTTTAATATCGCCCAACCCTAATCCGGGACGATATCGTTTTTATGTCCCGCTGCTTCCTACCTGATAAAAGTACAAGTATGTGATAAATATATATATATATATATATATATATATATATATATATATATATATATATATATATATATATATATATATATATACATGGACTTGTGGTTAGAGCTCGACAACTGGACTCTGTAGCTCAGTTGGTTAGAGCACTGCACTGGAATCGCAGGGCCGCAGGTTCGATTCCTGCCAGGGACCTATAAAGTTGCATTTTCCCCAGCTGTTCCTGGTTAGGTCAAATAAATGTATATAAATTTACACTCGATAATTTCCATCTATAAAACTGCTGATATAATCATACTCTCTTTTCATTTAATAGTCTGGGGTAAGCAGTGCTTCTGTGACTTCTTCTGGGAGCGAACATATTTCTTTAGTGGACTACGTTCATTCTGTCATCATTGACTGTTCATCATTCAGTTTTGTTGACTCCATGGCTGTAACAACTCTGTCCCAGGTACAGTGCAAACTTGTAGTCATCTACTAATAACACTTATATGTAGTTCGGCCTTGGCAATTCCAGAGATCAGCAAAACCTCAATCCCTAATTGTTTAATATTTGGGAAGAATAAATGTAAAATAATGATTAACAACTATTGAATGAGATTCAGCTCTATAAGGCCTTGATAATTCTTCACAACATGCAAATCTGAACCATATTCAATAATTGTTTTTTTTTTATATATTTCAAATATGAAACAGTGGCCGGTTGTATAGGAAGCCGTTTGGTTAGGCACACAATTCAGAGCGTTGAATATTATTTCTTCATATCAAGGTTATGACGTCACTCCGTTGAATATTATGTCATAACTCCATATTTGATCAGCTGTTCAGTTGATATTTATCACTTATTTACTGAGACCTCGGGAAACAGTGTGTTTTGTGGACCCGAGACCGCCGTTCGCCGAGGGCAACAACGGCGGTCGAGGGGCCACAAAACACACTGTTTCCCGAGGTCTCAGTGTGTTTTGTTATATAGTATATAAGTGTCAAAGTATGAATAATTTACCGGTTATTGGAGTGAACTTAATTTGAAACCAAAACTGGACAAGTGGAACGCCGTAAATGTTTAGTAAAAAGTTTAAAAAATGAACTTTGGAACTTCATGGTTGACACGCATGCGTATTGCACCCATTTTATTATTGACCGGTCAATAAATGTTTCATTGCGGACCGGTTGCCGAACATGACGTTTTGTGGACCGGCACGTGACACGGTTTTGACCAATCGGCAAACAGAAAAATTGAACTTTGACACTAACCATATGACAAGACGATTTCCAATCAGAAGTCATGAATTCTTTTAAGTGAATTATAATTGCTATTATGCTAATGTTACCCATGAAGTATAGTTACTCGCTCAACCATTTTGTACTTTATTATCTAATTGATATTTTTATTGTTACAGATTGCTCAAGAATTTGAACGACAGAGTGTGAAACTTTATTTGGTCAATTATTCGTGTATGATATTCACATTATTCTTGTATAGTCTGTTCAGATGTTTTGATACGAAACTTCTCCGAATTCTATAATTCGTCATTCCCCATTCCGAATAAACAACGTGCGAGTATATATGGCCAAAAATAGGACTGGAACGAAAAATCTATTTCTGGTGGAATCCTTACTAAAAATTAATGAAAGTGAAGTCACATGTGTGCAGAACGGAATGTGGCCCACTTTAAGGCCCACACCAAGCTCGTACCTTTTTCCGCATGGTTAAAATGTTTCACTATACTATAGAAAATATATAAACATTAATGATTTTGAAATACAGGGCCAAATATTAAATTCGTAAAATTGAATCTAGATCTGTTCGATAAAATTAGTTAGTTTTGGTACTTTAGATAATTTTCATTTGCTAATCTTGCTTTCTTAGACCAAATTCTGAAAGTCCTGAAAACTGGAAATATATGTGATGATAATCAAGGAATTTTTATTTTCCCTACAATTTCTGAAGCACTGCAACATGCTTATGAAAGACGTCACAAACAGGTTAGTTATACCTGTGTGGTTAGAACATTTTTGATAAATTAACTCATCTTCCCAATAATGATTTTCCCTAAACGAATTCAATAATTTGCATGAGATCATCATCAGATTGCCATTCCGAAAATGAGAAGTACACGGGATTAATTCAAGTCCGAGTAGTTTTTTCCAGCGAGGGCTTGAAGTGAACTGAATTGGATCCAGTTCTATGAATGAATAATTTAATCAGTTGGATCCACTCCTATAAATGAGTTTGAGATATTTTGACGAAGATTATATATCAGACAAAGATATAATTTGTATATACATTTCATTTCGTTTCATTTCATTTCAAGACATAGAGTATCAACTTAATAATTTGATATCTGATAAAGTCTGTATTTGTCTATAACTTTCCTTATGTTGAATAATTGGTCCATAACGTGTTGCACTATCGCAATAATGTCTGAGAATCCAGCGTACGTACCAAACTGAAATTCATAACAACCATCAACAACTAGCTGGTTTGCATATGTGATAACATTTGCCTTATTATTCCCTGTAGGTTCTATATAATTATATTACATGCAAAGCAGTTATGATTTACCACATTAACCAGAAGCAATCATTGACTCATGCAAAAACGATATGTTTTCCTTGCAGATTGTGTATTTCATGGAAGATGAAGATGAAACTCAAGTTTGAAGACTAAACTGAATAATCTTAGCAAAGCCTTGTTTTCGCCAATCAGTGAACATATCAAATTAATTTATTCGCCAATGACAAAAAAAAATAGTTACACAGAATTAATAAAATATGAATAAAGGCAAGGTAGCCCAAAAGAAACCAAGAGGCTTATTTATATTGGGCTCCTTTGTTAATAAATAAGCAAAAAGAAATAGATCTGGAGGCAATCAGTCACAAATTATATAAATTAATTAATTAATTACAAAAGTTATTTTAATTACACAAAGAGCAAAAAGTAAACACAAACAAACTGACACGTATTCATCTAATAGGAGAATTAAGCAAGGAATTATCAAATCAGCAATAAAATAGTAGCGATCAATGATTATTATCGAGACGATATTAAGACAAAAATAAAAAATGCTTTAATCTAGATTGGAATAAAAAAACACTTGGCGCATCACGAATATCACCATCAAGAGTATTAAAAAACTTTGGAGCTTGAAAAATAGCTGAAAATTTCCTGATATTTGTCCTACAGAAAGGTATATGATATACAGATGTGAATAACGTGTATCATATTTATGAATTTGATTCATACGAGGAAACAGATTATCAAAACTACTATAGGGAGTAAATTATTATGATATAAGTACATAAATTTACCAAGATGATACAAATAGATTTTATCAAATTTTAGAATCTTTAGTTCAATAAAAATTGGGGTCAGAATGTGCGTCAAATCGTTCTTTATTCAAAATTCTCATGATACGCTTTTGAAGCAAAATAATACGTTTTAAATTTGATGGGTAAGTAGAACCCCAAACAGTGATACAATACTGTAAATAGGGATAAACAAGCGAATAATATAATTTACATAAAGAAGATTTTGAAAGAAAAAACTAGCTTTGTACATAATACCAATAGATTTCGATATTTTCCTTAGCAACATGAGAAATATGAGGTTTGCAAGAAATATGTTCATCTCGGATAACACCAAGGAAAACGACCTCTTTAACCCTATCAATCACACAACCATTTATCATTATAGACAAATCATTATGCAATGGGTTTATAGATCATATAATTAGATTTCTTAGTATTTATCGACAACTTAGCCTTGAACCACTCAGATAACGTTTCAATCTCGCAATTAACTATATTCGTTAAGGCCGAAGAGAAGTCATTATGCGAAAAAATACATTTGTATCGTCAGCAAACAAAATCAATTCTAAAATATTAGAAACATTGCCAAGGTCGTTGATATATAGGAGAAACAGGAGTGGACCAAGGATAGAACCTTGAGGCACTCCACATTGAATAGTTTTATAAGAGGAACATGTATTATTATATTGCACAAATTGCAATCGATTGGAAAGGTAACTTTTCATCCATGTGAGCGCCACTCCTCGGATGCCATAATACCTAAGTTTATCAAATAGAATTTCATGGTCTACCGTATCAAATGCCTTAGAAAGATCTAGAAAAATTCCAATCGTAAATTCTTTCCGATCAATAGCTGATGTTATTTTTTCGCACAAATGCATTAAAGCTACAGATGTTGAATGGTTTTTTCTGAAGCCATATTGATTATTGAAAAAAATACATGAATTATTAATATAATCTAAAATACGTTTATGGACGACTCTTTCCAATAAGTAGGATTGATATAGGTCTGTAATTCTGAAAGAGTCTATGATCGCCAGACTTAAATAAGGCTACAACATGGGAAATTTTCATAAGATCAGGAACAATGCCCGAGGAAGTAGATAAATTGATAATATGAGTAAGAGGACTAGCGATTATATCCATAGAATCCTTTAGAACCGACATCGGTAACTTATCATAGCCAGCAGCCGTTCCAGACCGCAGTGAATTAATTATATCAATTATTTCTTGTTGGGTAGTCAAATCAGGTGATATGGAATAATTTCCCGTTAAATATGTACGGTGCGAGATATTAGACTCAGGTATTTCCTTTGCTATAGATTAATACCAATATTATAGAGAAATAGTTACAAAAATTATCGGCAATTTCAGTGGGATTGGAAATTTCTTTATCCTTGAAAACAAAGGTTGATGGTAATTTACAGGTGTGTTTTTTCTTGTTAATGACTTCATTCAATATTTGCCATGTTATTTTAATATTTGCCTTGAAATACTCTAATTGTTTGTCATAGTAAATGCGTTTAGCAACTCTTAGAGAATGAATCAATTTCTTTTTATATCTTTTATAAGATGTCTCATTAGTACAACTGGGTCTTTTTAAATACCGCTTATACATTTTATTCTTATGTCTTATTGATTTAAGAAGACCTTTAGATGGGTCTTTTTAGACCATGGTTTTTTTTAGAGCATATTTCTTTTTTTTACCCTTTTTAGTGGAAAACAATATATGTTTCACGGTATTTAGATAAAAAAAACTCTCATATGCCTTTAGAGGATCGTAAAACCCTTCTAAATTTTGCCAATTAACATTACTTAAACGATGTCGGAATTTAGCTGCATTTGTTGCATTTTTATCACGGAATACTATATATGTGTCATCATTCCTATCCATCAATCGTGATCGAGTAACACAGAATATAGGCAAATGATCGGAAATATCCGAGAGCAATAAGCCATTAAAACAATAATTATCTGAGTGATTGGTAAATATGTTATCGATAATCGTAGCAGTATGTGACGTTATTCTTGTTGGAAGCGTTATTAAAGGAAAAAACATATAACCAAACATAATATATAGAAATTCCGCAGTAAGTTGATGCATGACTGTGGTGATTCAAAAGATTAAAATCACCCATTAAATAACAAATTTTGTTTTCCTTGGAAATTATTCCTATGAGGGTATTAAGGCTATCTATGAACTCATGTACGTTTTGTTTAGGCGGTCTATAAATAATACCAACAATAATGTTTTTCCCCTTTGCGTTAGTTAATATTTCTATAAACAGGGATTCGACACATGACTGCTTAGGGAAACTTAAATCCTTACGTATGGTTTATATTCCAACTCAAGACTTAAATATAAACCAGATCTATCATTTCGGTGGCTATGTACAAAATTATATCAGTCAATATCAACGGTATGTGATGATCGAATCTTGTAACCAAGTTTCAGAAATACCAATAACCGAAAATTTATGGTCAACCAAGAGAAGTAAATTTGTCAGACTGTCGAAATTCCGTCCAAGACTTCAAATATTTAAATGAAAAAAGGATAAGTCTTCTGAATATGCACAATTGTCTTGAATGGTTTTACTTAGGCAACTCTCTGTATAATAATCACAGCTACATATATCAGAATAAAAATTAGAGTCCGGATCTATATTTTGGGATAACGATAAATTTTTGTAATTGTCGAAAGATAAGGGATTAAACTTTAAGCATGTGAGAGTCTGTTTTCATCAAGATTCACCCTACCATTTGTCATCTCGTACAGAGCTAAATTAGCTAATTCAAAACTGTCATCATCAAGCCGATTAAAAGGCAATTCACACATGTTCAACGAAGCGAATGAAAGATAGTATTAATTAATACACTCACAACTTATTTTAAGTATGTTCCTTTAATTATCAAACTTTTCGTTGAATTCTTCAAAATCTTTCAGCGAAGCAAAAGCATGGGTTTCGGATTGGTTTTCATTTTTCTTCAGTAAAACTTTCCCTTGCCGGGTCCATACAAATTGAAAATGGTGTCGCCTTTTGAATTCTTTAACTTTATTAATTAAGGATGACCCGAGATTTGACAGTAAAACTGTCGTTTATATACAATCGACTATTCTGTTGGAACCCAATATACTTAGCGCTTTTTGAATTAAGATTTCTTTTTTTCCTATATATTGCATCTCGGTTATCACGCCTCACAAATTTGACGATGATCGGTTTTATGCGTCCCCCAGCCGCAGGCAGACGATGACTTGTGGATATATCCGACTCACAAATGTTCAATTCAGGTGCAATTAAATTCATATATATAAAGCATATATGAGCAAGAAAACTAAACAGGACTTTCCTCTTACGCTTTTAAGGCAAATGCTTGTGTTTATGCTTGTGCCTATTTTATGAAGACTTATGTTTGTATTAATTGCATCATTGGCTTTCTGTCTCTGCTAGCGCTATGTCTTTATAATTATGGCTCATCGTTAAATGAGGCGATTATATTAGCTGTTTAATATTTGTTGGTAAACTTGGTATGAACAAAACGATCAATGTGTAATCAGTGGCGTCCTCTTGGCCTGGTGTCACGGTGGCGATTTTTAATGTACAGAGCCAGGGGTCCTCTTCCGTTCAAGCCGGGTGGGGGGCTTTAGCACAAACGGAGTTTAAATTAATAATATTTAATAATAGCTATAAATTATGTAATGTTAGAAAAATACATGCCATTGTGTCATTATTAATGACAATTCTGGGAGTAGATTACAAGCTAATACATCTAGTGACATTGCGACGATGTTTAATGAGTACTTTCAATCTGTCTACACTTGCTTTCAGGATCTATCACCTTCGTTTCAACCAGATTCATCTTCTCCATTATCAAGCATTTCATCAATTGACCTGTCGGTAGAAGAAGTTTACCAAGCCTTGCAGAACTTAAATCCGTCAAAAGCTCATGGTCCTGACGGGTTTCCTTCGCGTATTCTAAAAGAATGTGCCTTCCAAGTAGCTACATCACTTCATCACCAATTTACTAAGTCGCTCCGCTTATCGCAGGTTCCAGCCGAGTGGAAGTTAGCCAACATCATTCCTCTACACAAGGACAAAAATATCACTCGGAAAATTACCGCCCTATTTCATTGCTATCAATCATAAACAAGGTCCTTGAAAGATGTGCCCTCAATCATGTATCCTACCATATTCAGTCCAACATTAATTCGGCGCAGTACGGTTTCGTTAACGGAAAATCAAGCACAGCTCAGTTATTATTAATATTAAATATTATTGGAAAGAACTTGGATAAGGGATTACAAACTGATGTTGTTTTTATGGATATTGCTAAGGCTTTCGATGCCGTTGACCACACCAAACTGTTGCAAAAGCTGCAGGAATTCGGTTTTTCTGGTTCTCTCCTCCTGTGGTTTAAGAATTATTTATCCGGACGCTTCCAATGGGTAGTTACGTCGACCACTTTATCCATTACATCTGGGGTTCCACAAGGATCGTTATTGGGTCCCTTTCTCTTCTCTGTATATATCAATGACTTACCTAGCTATGTATCATCCTCTACTGGGGTCGGACTGTTTGCTGACGACACCAAGCTGTATCGTTGCATAAAGAATCCTTCTGATGCCTTGGTCTTCGATGTTGGTAAAATGAAAACCACCTTCATTTCAATCAATCCAAGTGCAAGGTACTCTCTATAACCAGAAAAACATCACCTTTGGTTTCTCCATACAGTCTTGTCGGTCACTTGTTGTCCTTTTCTGATGCTGAAGTTGACCTGGGTATAACTATCGGTCCCAAATTAACATGGATCCATGAAGTGAGCAAGGTGAAGTCCAAAGCTAACAAATTGCTTGGATTAATTAGGCGGTCTACCTTGGAGATGACTGACATCAAGGCGAGAAAGTATCTGTACTTACAGCCCGTTGGAAGCAATCTTGCGTACGCATCCCAAGTATGGTGTCCACAGTCCGTACAGTTAATTGAAAATATCGAGAAGGTGCAGAGAAGAGCAACCAAATTTATTCTTAATCTTGGGTTTGTCACCAACATACCGTGTCCAACAAGACTACATAACCTAGATCTACTACCCATAACTTACTGGCACGAATACCTGGATATATTCCTACTCTATAAAATCATAAACAATTATACATATATCGACGACAGTGCTCGACCGGTTATATCAGGATAGGGAATCACTAGAAGTGAAACTAATGACAATCGAATTAAATTCTTAGTTTATACCTTATGCCAAAACTGTAATGTTCCAGTCCTCGTATTTTATTAGAGCTTTTAAAACGACCTAGAACATTCTAAGTGATATAACCTTCGAGACAGAAACAGGACTGAAATCGTATTATAAGAACGCACTATCGAAGACGTATAACTGCGACGATCCTCGGACTTGGAAATCTGTCTGTGTTAAATGTAAAAGGGCTAGATCCCTTGATGGTGTTTTAAACTGTTGTTAGTTGTCAGTTTAGCCGTTTTGTAATTGTGTTGTTCTACTTATAGACTGTTTCGTTAATCAATTATTTGAACATAATTTTTATGTAAATTTAAGGGATCGCCGTAATTGGGGGAACTTGTGGCGAACCCCCTGGCACTACATTGTTGTATTTTTAGGTAGTTGCCGAATCTTATTAAAACATTAAAACATTAAAACATCGTTTCCATTAAAAAAAGGATCGAACCGAATTGTAGTTAAATCACAGGCTGGTAAATGATGTATAAAAATGTATGTCTAAAATTGGCAGTGAAGAAGTTTTATTTATTAAACGCGATAAAGGTGAGGAGGACTCTTCAACAATAAACCTTCAACCCCAATATCAGAGGTCATGAATATATTACAATAAATCATATTTGAACTTCCGTTGGCACATGACTTCCATGGAAAGCGATGTTTATTCTTGGAGTAATTATACCGAGAATGAAAATACAATATTCCAAGCAACATGAGGTGGCTTTCAAAATGTTGTTGCTGTATTTCTCTACGAACTGGTAGCCTTGTAGCTTGTGCATGGACTCTGGTAAGGTCTGCTATATTTATTTAACATATGTGATACTTAATTCTATGGTAAATTTAACTATTGATCATAGATGAACAATTTCCTGCAGTCACGTTTCTCTATATGGTGGTAAATTTCTCACAAGACTGATTCACGATTCTTTACAGAAGTCAACAGACCTGACACTCACATTTCTCTTTATTTCATATCAGTAATATCAACAATTAATAAGGTGAATTCATAGAATAATAATAGTAAGTCTTTCCTTTCGCGGCATAACCTATGGGGCTCGTCGCTGCCCCCGAGGCTCGTTAACTTCAATATATCCCTGAAGCCCCTAGGTATTATCACGACATGGTAGTATTTCGAAAACTGACGAAAAAATAAGCTAAGAACAAACTTCGACGTTTCGAGCGAAGTCCCTCCGTCAAGAAGTTAGAATGCACTTGCGTGAACTTGCTTGAATAGTTACGTCAAAACATTGTTGTTTGTTTGTAACTAATGCTACCCAACGAAGGACCTTGCATTGGCACCTTAATTAAATTTCTGGGTGTTGCTAACTCCATTCCAGCTATTGTAAACACTGATTTGGTGTAAATGTTCACACTATTTTGGTGTTATATAAGGAAACACCAACTTACGATGATTATGAATTGATTAGACAGTAATAAATAATAATACTAATACTTGTAATAGTACACTTGCAATAAAATAATCAGTCTAGATAATCAAGAATCAGTACTATACATTATAACGACTTGTATAAGATATGCATGCACGAGAATTAATAAGCCTGGTTTCCATATGGTTGTAACTGTCGTAAAAATAGAGTCACGATCTTTCGCAACGGCCCGTTGATAATAGTTTATACCTGTAAGCAACATATAAATCAATATGAATAAGTATTCTCCAGTTATAGGCACTCCACGTATTTTCAGTTCTAAAACTGTATTTCGGCTGATGAGAAAGATCGTGACTAACTCAATTTTTATTCTTTACGACCGTTACGCATTGTATTTTCGCTACTATTCAATCAAGTCTGAACAGTGATTATTAAATTGAGCATTGTTAAGGTCATGCATGGACAGTTACGCCAAAACATTTGATGAAAATACAATTATATCCATGACCATGCTGACAAAGAACTATATTGTACAATCCTATTAATAATACATCACAATATAAATAATAAAATAATTTGTCACGTTGCACAGTAGTGACAGTAGTAATTCGATCTAGTTTGGAAAGCTAATTTTTACTAAGTGCGTTGTCGGATTGCTGAATATCGCTGACTGGATAATTTACTTGAGTGCTTGTCGGATTAAAAACAATTATGAATATATAATCATGAGCCTAATTAAATGCGAAACAGATCCAGACTCGGATTACAAAGTTGGAAATCTTCCTCGTGTTAGTTGTGACAACAAAAAAGAAAACATGGCATTGATCTGCGTGTGATTACAATTTCAGATAGGCATGCAATTACTGATAATACCATATTTAATAAATGAGCTGAAGATTTAAATCACCATTGAGCGTACTTATAATTACGGTTCTAACTTCCAATCTACCGCCTTTTATCGATCTTGACTCTCTACCTATACACTCCTATACACATTTATCAGTTGCCAAAATCTGATATACGCACAATTCTTTGGAGCGAATATTGCCCCTTATAAGTAAAATGATAAGGATCACTTTTCCAGTCGTGAACATCGATAGAGAACTACTTAATATGTAAATTATTGTTCACGGAGCATGCTTGCAACAGATTTACCATTCCTAAAAACTAAATATGTCAAAATGGTGTTATCGACAGCTTAAATAGACTAGTGACCGACAGGGTGTAAACTATATAATGCATGTACTGGTGCAATGTTACACTTGTAATAACATGCATGAAAAGATTACTCAATTCTGATTGGCTAAGACCAGTGCAATTTCATCGAAATACTGTACATGTGCGAAAGAAACTAATTCAATGCCAAAAAAGAAAGTTGGTACCAAATGCGTGGCCAGCGCTTTAACAAAGAACATACGCGCGTGTGTTTCATGCCGATGCAAGTGACTGAATTTGCTTCTGCATAACATAAACTCGTAAGTTTTTCAAAGATTTCAAATTGGACTCGTCCTTCAGACTCGTGCAATTTTGATCGTCTTTGAAAATCATACCGACGTGCATCTTTTCCAACCTCTCGTCACCATACTATTATCACCTACACTGATAAACCGTTCTTTTATTATTATTATTAACCATCACTGGCAATAGATTTCATATTATAAATAAATTAATATTTTTAGTTCACAGCCGTCCTAATGATTTCGTTGCAAGTCATTAATATTATGTCGATGGAAAGTCTTACAAGTTATCAGATCAAACAGGGAGAAATCAAAGTTAAAAGTAAGTGCAGGTGAATTTATTAATTTAAACATACATGCCGTTCTTCTTCTCTAAAATCCGAAAATCTAACTAATTACATGCAAACTAGAAAACTAGAAGGGAGCAGTGCCGTCGGGCATGGCGGCATGCCCCCTCCCCCCCCCTCCCCGAAGATTTTGTGTTCTCGAAGCCTCAGAAGAGTGGTTTCCATATTTCCTGAGAGGAATTTTGATCAATGTTGAAGCTTTTGCATTAACGAATTTAAGATTTTATAATGCAGTTTATACGGCCATTTTACAACTTCAAAGTATCCCAGTTTTGAAACAACGTGCACTCTGTATACAATTAGAAGCGTGAATGAATTCAAAAAAAGTTAAAAAAAGTGAGATTTTCAAAAAAGTTTAAAAAAGTTAGATTAGGGTTAGGGGTTAGGATAAGGGGTTAGGGTTGGGGTTACGGTTAGGGGTTAGTGTTAGGGGCCGCAAATTTAACATATTGATAAATTCGGACGTGTTTAACATATTAACTCATATAGTAAATTGAAAGGTGGAGCTCATGCTGATATATACACAATGTGTTTATTGTAACTGCCTGTGCAAGAAAGAAATCATGCAAGTATTCAAGTTTGCAGTTGAAGTACAATCCTGGATGAGGAAATTGTTGGGGGCGGGCCTGCCTCCCCCCCCCCCCCCCCCCCCCCCCC